CTCTCTCCCACTCTTTTTCCCTGTTAACATGTCCGAAATCCATTTATTTATACAATGGTTAATGGGTAGTTTGGTATATACCCAAGGTAGTTGATGATGATGATGATGATAATGATTTCTCAGTGAACAAAAAAAAAATGAAAGTAAAAGCAAGTTATTAAAATAATAACCAAAGAAAAAAAAACACAAACAGGAAATTGAGTGAACCAAACCAGAGAACAGAAAAAAAAATTTCGGTAGAAAAAATTTTTTTTTCATCCATTTTCTTTACTGGGTTATGAAATTTTTGTGTTTTTTTAATGAATTTTGAAATTGATAAATATTTGTCCAGTGTGTGTGTGTGTGTGTGTAATGGTGACTTACCTGTGTTGGTTTTTTTTGTTGTTGCTGTTGCTGAATCTAATGAATCAATTGGAAATCATTTGAGACATTTTGAGAAAAGTCGAGAAGAAATTCTTTAAGAATTGGAATTTTTTTCATGGAATAAATTTTATGATGATTCTGATGATGATGGAAAAAAAGCTCAAACACTGTAAAAAATAAAGTAAAGAAAAAAAAATTCAATCTATCGACAGAATAGATAGATTATTGTTGTTGTTGTTGTATTGAAATGATCGAGTGGTCATGAACAAATTGTCATCATCGTTTGGTTTCTTTCTTTGGCGTTTGGAAAATTGATGATATGAAAAAGATTATTTTATACACACACACACACACAAACACACCACAATGTCCGAATGTCGATTTGATTTTTTTTTTTTTTTTTTTTTGGTATTTTGGATCGGTTATTCAAACAATGTATTACAATTTGTAAAGTTTTATGTGTGTGTGTGTGTGTGTGTGATGCATTTAATTCAGTATTCACTCACATACACACACACGCACGCAAAAAGTAATGAATTTTCGTAAATGACAATAATAATAATGGGTCGAATGGACAACACACACACACACACACACGATAAGCAATAATAATAAATTTTTCGTTTCTTTATCACCAAAAGACTAACATTTTTTTTGTTTCTTTCTCAGATTTGAATTCTCAATACGAGATTTGGGATGCAAAACCGGCCAAATTATAGTAAGAAAGCATGATGATAGTGAACCAAAAAAAAAAAAAAAAAACACACACATTTCACATGATCAAACTGACACTGGATTTCAATGTGTGTGTTGTGTGTCAGTCTGTGACTGGTAATGAAAATGAAATTCAAGAATATCAGAATGTTTTCACCAACACAACACAAGACAACGTTTGTTCCATAATGAATTTTTGTTCCAATGTTTTATATGTGTGTGTGTGTGTGTTTCTGGAACCTATGAATTGTTGTTGTTGAAATTCTACATATGTGTCGGTTAGAAATAGTGTGTGTGTGCGTGTGGTAATCGTTTATATATAGTAGAAAAGCTTCTAAAATAGATCAAATGGAAAAAAATGGTATCGACTCAGAATCCATCGGGAACAGAAAAAAAAATACTTGCTACAGATCGAGCCAATATTTTTTTTTTATATTGAAAGAACGCCGTTCCAGAATTATGGAACACAAAAACAACCAAGACGAACTAACGTTATATATGGCATCTTATATTCTGGTTGATTCGTTTGGTTCACTTTCGTTTATTTCCATATATTCGTTTAAAATAATACAGTGAATAAATGAAAAAAAGCCGATCCAAGCCTTTATATTCATTTAAGCGGGAAAAAGTAAAACAAGACCATATGAATAAACGACGACGATATTCAAATTCTTCATAGGAATCTTATTCAAGAATGACAGAGAGAAAAGTATCAAAAAAGATTTTCATCTATCCATCTATATAGATGATAAATACAAGAATCACTGATTTGATCTTGGAATCTTCAATTTTTGTAATGGTTTTCTCGTTATTTTGCACCTTTCAAATTCTTTTTCTTTTTTTTTCTTTTGCTTTTCGGTTTGAACATTCATTTCTTTTTTTTTTTTTTTCTTCATCTGACCCAGGAGATTAGGTTTTTTTTATCAAGTTTTCCATTTTCACTTTTCTTTCACTTGTTTTTTTTCTCATCGTTTTTGCTAAAACTTCAAAGCTTTGTGTTATATTCACATAAATACAGATCGATCAGAATCGAATAACAACAACAACAACAACCAATCTGAGCAACTAAAAATCCATAGAAATGCCTCGATAATAATAATAATAAAAAAAAGACGAGCAAAAAAAAAGTTTCCAAGAAACAAATAATCAACAAAGTAATCATTAAACTATACGGTGAACCCAATAACCAGAAGTAACTATTTGATGATGAATGTTATGGTTATATATTTTGTTTTTCTCCACCATTTTCTTGATCATCATCCATTTAAAACGATCGACCATACTAATAATAATAACGATAAAGTTTTTTTCTCTCTCTCTCTCTCAAAACAAAGTGGTCTCAATCCTGAAGATTTTTTCTTCTTTTTTTTGGAATCAACGATGTGAATGAATTCTCAATGAATAGAATATATTTATCCATGTGGATATCAGACACACACACACACACACACACATTGAATGGAATTTAATTTACTATGATCACTAGAAAATTTATTCATTTTGATTTAAAATTGAATTGAATTAAATTGAATTGAATCGTTTTGATCCATTTTATTCTATATTCAACATTTTTTTTCACATTTTCGCTTGATTTCAAAATATTATAATTTGTATGAGTTTGAAATAAAAAAAAAAAAAAAAATTCCATCAATTCTGATGATGGAAATGAATATAATTCAGTGTTTTGAAAAACTTTTATTTGTATACACTTGATCATCATTTCATTCAATCAGAATAAAAAAGAGAGAGAGAGAGAGAGAGAAAAAGCAAAAAACTAAAATCAAATTCTATCAGAATCGACAGAATTGTTTGATTATCATCATCATTGTCATCACCATCACCATCAACAACAACAATAACAATGTGTTGACATTGTCCAATAAATCGCATCAACACACACACACACGAAAGAGATATTGTCAACGATTTTTCCCCGAAAAAAACGATCAAAACAAAACAAACAAATATTGAACAACAACAACAACAAAAACATATACACGAAATAACAATCAACCAATCGCATAAACGATAGGTTGATGTTTTTCATTCATATAAAATCAGAATGATGATCGAATGAGAAAAAAAAGGCCATCACGTTATACATTACAGATACATGTCTGTTGTTGTTGTTGTTTGACAATACGGATCTGTATCTTGTGTGTGTGTAGTGAAGAATCGAAATGTCCAAAAACGATACTGAAAATGATCTATTTGTGTGTGTGTGTAGCCATTTTCATTTTTAGAAAGCCAAACATGAAAACCACCACCACCAAAAAATAAAGCAGGATTTCTTTCTCTTTTTATTTTATATTGAGATTTTTCTGTTTTTTTTCGGAAGGGGCAAAAACAACGGAATGAATGAATGAATGAATGAAAAAAGAAAGGAAATTCATTGCATATGTTTGTGTGTTGTTTTTTTTCCAGTATCCTACCTCGTTGATGGTCGTTGTCGTTTTTTTTTCGCTGTTGTCGTCTCCAAACTTTCGACAATAATGTTTGTTTAAAAAACACAAGAAACGAAATGAAATGCAAAGAAAATCGATGAAAGATGCATTTATGCAATCATCAATTGTTGCTAAATAAAAAAAGCTAACTAACTAATCCAATTCCAATTTCAATTCATTCCAAATATACGCATTCAATTCATTTATTTTGGTTTGTCTTTTGTTCGCTTGTGTGTGGTTGTCATTGATGTTTTTTTTTCATGGTTCTTTCTTCTCTCTCTCTCTCTCACACACACACACACCAGTGTGTTTGGCATAATCAATTTCCTGTTCCTGAAATTTCCCGTTTCAGTTTTGTTTTTTGTTTTTTGTTTTCATTTTATATTTATATTATTGATATTAATCTTCAAGTGTTTTTCATTTTCATTTAGAATCCTCTATGTGAGGAAATTCCAATTTTTTTTCATTTGTTCAGTTTGTGTGTAAGCAGAACAGAAAAAAATAGAATCAAAAAAAAAAAAAAATTCGAACGAAATTTCCAGAAAAAAAAAATTTTTTTTTTGATTAAAATTAATTCGTTGTTGTTGTTGTTGTTGTGCTCATTATATGAACAGAGCGAGTATATGAACAAATCACATTTGATAAATAAACAAAAAAAAAAAAATGAAAATGAAAACCAGATCCAACAAACAAAATCAAACAAGTTCATTTATTGTGGATAGATTGTGGTCAAATAATAATAATAATAATAATGACCATTATCAACATAATAATAATAATCATCATCATCATCATCAATATTGTTATGGACATCGTTTTTATATGGCAATAATATTTACCAATCTATTAGTATGTACAATTGTATATTATGTAACAATTACATCAATATGTCGTATCGATAATCAGTCATCATCATTACAGCAACGATCATCAAAATTTAAACATTTTGTATCCGATCATCATCCATTTTATGGCCACCAACAACAACAACAACAACAACAAACATCATAAATCGTATGACGATGACCAACGTCCACTATTATCAAATTATGTACAAATTTCTGGCTATTTGAAAACAAATCTAGATGTTCTTTATGATTATTACAATGAAAATCGAATACATCAACATCAAAAACAGTCACAGCAATCATTAAATTATTATGATCAAAGTTCCAAAATAAAAAAAATGATGATTATAGATGAAAATTTTCTAACCGAATGGTATCGTTTGATGTATGCATTGATTGAACGATTGGATGATGTTGATGAAAATGATATAAAACATTTACGATGGCAACGACAAAACAAATTGAAAAATTTAATCTGGACGAAAATTGATCAATTACAAAATCCAAAGAAACATTTGATAAAAATGGATGCCAATACCAGCAGCAGCAGCAGCAACAACAACAACAACAATAACAATAGTATAAATCATCATCATGATGAAATCAAACATAACAACGATTTCGACAACAACAACAACAACAACAGAGAAAAGCAATCATTGCCTCATGAAACAACAACAACAAACAATTGTAAATCGATAAACAAGATTGTTTGTGATGCATATAAATCTTGTGGATTTGGTTGTTTTGTACACCATATGGCCTATTGTTTGATTGCTGCATTGGCATTGAACAGGACACTAATTCTATATCCAAGCATAGAAAATTTTGGCTTTAGTGATGAAATTAGTTCATCAAGTAAAAACAACCACTATTACCAACGATTATTCAAGTCATTCAAATCGATCAATTCAATTTGTGATATTAATAGTAGTGACGGTGGTGGTGTTGGTGGTGATGGTGGACCACAACAACAAAAATCACCATCAAATGATTGGATGTCGAATGCAGTAAACATTAATGATGTAATCAATCACAAACAAAATCAGAAACTAAAAACAATTGATAGAAACAATAATAATGATGATGATGATGACGATGACGATGACAACATTGAATTGATCTATTTACCCATAATTGAAAATTTAGACAATCGTGCAAAGTTTCGTCCAATGGCTATACCAGAACAATTACGTAAACATCTGGAACAATTGACTCGTATGCCTTTTGTTGTATTTTTAGGTTCAATTATAAGTTATATAATGCGTTTGAATGATGAATTTGAACGAAAATTCCTTCAATATCGTCAACGAATTAAATTCCGTATTAATGGTGACAATGATGATGATGAAATATTTATCGGAATACATGTACGTCGTACAGATAAATTATTCGGTGAAGGTGAATATTATCCATTAAGTGATTATATGAAAATTGTTCAAAGAATTTATGACCGTATCGATATACAAGATGCTATGATGATGATGGAAAAAATAAAAAATTAAAAACGTGAACGTAAAATTTATCTAGCCACTGATGATATTACCGTTTGGCAAAATGAAGTACCACAATATATAAAACAGGGTTATCGATTTTATGGTGATTCACAGATAACTAAATCTGCATCACCAGGTCAACGTAATACAGCCGAATCATTCGATGGTTTCATTATGGATGTATTATCATTAAGCTATACTGATTATCTAGTCTGTACATTTAGTTCACAAGTTTGTCGATTAGCATATGAATTGATGCAAGTACAACGAACAAATGGTCGTGATATGTCCACAAATTTTTATTCACTTGATGATGTCTATTATTTTGGTGGTCAGGTATTTATTATTATTATTATCATATCATCGTGTGTGTATAGATTTGAAGGAAATTTTCTGATTTTATCGAAAGATATCATCATTATCAGCATCATCTTCACCACTATCCAATATTTACATTGTAAAAATAGCCAAGCTTTTGTTTTTCTTTATTTATTGTTTTTGCATTTATAGATTTCACATCGACTTGAATCGATAATGGCCAATCATCATCCACCACCATACGTTCATAATGGCAATAATGATAAGATCAACAATAGCCAAAAACAACATAAATTCAATGTTGGTGACAGTTTAGGTATTGAAAAAAATTTACATAATGGCTATTATTTAGGTGATCTTTATGAAACAAAAATCCAACGACTATTAGATCGTTCACTTGCATATCCAATATTCAAAGTGATTGAAAAAATTGATTCAACATCATTTAAAGCTTTTGAATAAATTATCATATTTTTTTTTTTTTGGTTGTGAAAAATTCTTTTCCAAATTGTTTCCAATGATCGATAAAAGATGGCGCGTTTGCTGAATTCGATTGATTCTTGAATCATCATCATCATATTGTGTTCTTGTTTGTTTACTCTCTCTCACACACACACACACATTAGATTGAATTCATTTATTTATTTTCAATTTCGGTGCCAAAATTTTGTCCCAGATTCTATGATTCACATTTTTTTTTGTTCTCTGTATATTTCATCATTTCAATAATGAATCAACACGAAAAAGAAACAAATGTAAATGATCAACAACAACAAGAACAAGAACAACAGCAGCAGCAACAACCACCTATCGATGTTGGTATTGAAGCTACAACATTACCATTATATGATTCCAAAAGTCAGCTAATTAATTGTAGTGAAGAATTGTTTGGAAATATTAAAAACTATATTACATCCGAAATTGAATGTAAGCATCCTACGGTTGTTGTTCTGATTTCTTCAAAGAAACGAAATCTATGTGTTTGTGATTGCACGACAAATAATGATGATGTTTCATACACGATCTAAATTTCATTTTTTTTTCTTTCTTAAATAGTGACATTAGAAGATTATAAACTATTGGAAACAATGAACAATTTTACAATGGAAAAATTTCAAGGAATGACCCAGATTGCCCAACAAATACAGGAAGAAAATCGTGATTTAAATGATCGATATAGGAAACTATTACCGAAATTGGAGATAATTGATAAATTAGATCGTAAAGTTACCAGATTGGAAAAGATGGCCTATGCAATTGATGCCTATTCAAAACGATTAGGTATGTTTTTTTTCAATCCCATGTTACATATACATTTCTTCAACATCATCATATGTGAATTGATGATTGCCAATCAACATGGTTGGCAATCATCAATCAATCGATTTTATGAATCATCATCACCACCAGAACATTGGTAGCACAAGAAATTAATCAATTTTTTTCTGATAAATTTACATATTTTTTGTTGCATGTACACACACACACACAAACACGCGCGTCTAACATTTTAATTTTGTGAAAATTATTCCGTTCAAGGAAAACTTTCACTTTGGATTCGTCCATATCATCATCATCATCATATATGATATGTCGCCTTCATCTTGATCATCTTTGAAGCATATAGAATCCTCAATTCATAATAACATACGATTTCGAAGGTTTTAAAGAGAAAAGTTTTGTATGCAGAAATGAAAATTCATGTATGTATGGTAAAAGGCAATATGGTAAAAATTAGCATGATAGAAGCAGTTTACAACCAATTACAATAATGTGTGTGTGTGTGTGTGTAATATAAGAATAGAATAGCTAAATGGAAAAATTCAAATTTCAACTAAAAATATCCATTTTTACTACTGAACAGTAATAATGAATGAATATTCTGACATGAAAACCCGCGCGCACACACACACACACACAAACATTGAATTAAGTGTGGTGGTTCAGTCGGATCATTTGGATCAGACATTTTTCAAAAAATTTCTGGAATGAATAAAATGACAAAAAAAAATAAGACAGAAAAAAAATGTGTGAAAATGTTTAATGCCACACATTTATAATACTAATACGTGATGACATGTAAAAGAATTATTATCGAATGGAATCGACTTTTTAGCTATAGAACATATATATAGATGAATATATTTCTTAATTCTTGGAAAATTCTTAGCAATGAATTGTGAATGAAAATGAAAATGCTTAGGTCAGATAAAAGTTCACATCATCATCATCATCATCATACATAACCGCGTATGGTGTGTGTGTGTGTGTGTGTGTAATTGATGCCACAAAATTTTTCGAGTAAATAAGATAGATTGAGTGAACGAATGAGTGATATGGATTCAAAAAGTTTTTTTCTTCCCAATCCCCCTCCCCTCCTCTCTCCAGAAACAACAGCAGCGCTACATTAGCTATTTTTGTTTTTTTTTTTATCTAAAAAGAATAAAAAATGAATACATTTGCGTCAAGGGGAAAACAATGGGGAGCAAAAACAAATTTGAATTTGAATCTTGAATGAATGATGAGAAAAGAGGGAAGGAGGCTTTAAGGGCTGAAGGCGAAATAGTTGGGAGGTTAGTGATGAGAATATTCTTAGGAGATAGAGAGAGAGAGAGGCATGGAGGTGACGATTCTTTATGTGTTGATTATGATGATGATGATGATGGTGATGGCAACGGCGGCGATAGCTGAGTTTATTTTTATTTATTTATTTATTTTTTTTCTTCATTCATATTCTTAGAAAATCTTTGAAAGATTTTCAATGATTGTTAATACATACACACACACACACCATACTAAAACAGGAATCGTATAGCTTATTTGACATAGTTATTGGCATTGTCGTCGATGGATGGATATTATATTCACACACACACACACACATCCATATCCATCGCTATCGTAATCTTCTGTGTGTGTGTGTGTGTGTTTGAAAAATTAAGAGAGAAAAACCTTACACGGCATGCCAAAAACATCTATTCGATACGCCCATCAAAAATGAGGAGTTTCAGACGATGTCATCATCATCATCGTAGTCGTCGTCGTCATCGTCGTCGTTGTTGTTGTTGTTGTTGTTTGTCTTCATCACATTTTCTTTTACACATAGAAGAAGACGAAACAAAGTTATTAGCCGGATAATTTTTTATTTTCAACACAAGCAAAAAAAAACGAAACGAAACGAAACCCGATTACGTTTTGGTTTTCACGTTGCCATTGCCAATTGATTGATGACATTATCCACAACAACATTATCATACACACACACACACACACACACACCCCCTTTAACTTTAATTATTGACTTTTTTTCTCTTTTTATTTTTTTCATGAAAATTCTATTCTCGCATGTCATTAGCCCATCACCATCACCATCACCATAATCAAATGCGAATGGACTTGAGATTCTTAAACTTTGAGAAAAGACATCATAGTCTCGTCTCACTGTTCGATAATTCTGGTTGAATGATTGGTAGTGAAAAAGAAAATTTTCAATTTAACAAAATTAAAAATTCATTTGAATTTGAATTTTTCTCTTTGACAAATCAAGTTAAGTTGAATCAGATTTTTATTCAGATTTGGTTTTTCGAAACAGATAGAAATTAACATGACCAAAAAAAAAAAATTGGGTCACTTTTTTTTTCTCGGTAAATACGGAAATGGAAATTCCATTTTTCAACATTGTTGAATCATAATAATGGTGATGAATTTGATTTTGGTTCCAAAAAAACAAACAAACAAACAACTTGGTGATGGTAAAATATTATTTACACATTCGTGCTTGTCTAGTCTTGCGCAAGAATTTCGATCGTACGTGTCGTTTGTTTTGTTTGTTTTTTTCGTTCATTTTTTTTCACTTGTGTCTGACCAATTTCAATTAATCAAATGAATAGCATGATGATAGGTACTATACCTGTGAACAAACAAAAAAAATTATCATTTTATGGTTGATGTTCATAATTTACCATTATTCAAAACAAACCAAAAAAAAAATAACGAAAACAAGCAACAACATTCAATGGTAATAATCATTGTTCATTTTTTTTTGTCTTTTATTCACTCATTTTGCCGTAGTCTTGTCATAATTAATTACTTTTTTTTCTGTGTGTGTGTGTGTGTGTTTGCAATTGCCGAATCCAAAAAAAAAAATTTTTTTTTTTCTGGCTTTTGAATATACCATATATACAAACACGCACATTTTCGGATGATTAACACTTAGTTTTTTTTCCAAATTCATTCACTTTTTTTTGTTAGAATAAAATAACCGCAGAGAGAGAGAGAGAGAGAAAATATGAATTTTTTTTTTTTTTGGATGAATTATAAATGTGTTGTTTATACATGTTCAATTTATATACGAATTATTCATTCATTTATCATGAAAATAATTGTTTACCATTTATTTCTATACACATTCTATATTCATTCGTTTGTTTGTTTTCTGGCCAAATAACTAATAATAATTTTCATTTTTATATTTCATTTTTTTTGCAACATTTTCATTTTTCTTTCTTCGTTCGTTTACCATCATCATCATCATCATCATCATCATCATCATCATCACCACCACCATTTCAAATGCAATATGAAAATGACGGAACAAATCGTCTGGAACATAATAACAACAAATGATGAATTTTTTTTTTTGTTTCTTGTAGAGAAACAATATAAATTATTGGAAAAAGGGTTAAACGATCATCAGCCTCATCAACAACAATAACAATAATCAAAATTAGCTAAATCAGCAACAACAATAAGAATCAACAAATCAATCATCAAGTGATTGACATATGGTTGATAAAATTCATCGATGAATCACACGCACACCCATACAGACACATTATGTAGACAACAAACAAACAAAAATGATTCATCAAAATGATTGGATTTGGATTTTTGCAGAATATTCAAAAATAAAAGAAGAAAAAAAAGAATTTCAACCCGTTTGGATCATCATCGTAGTACATTGTTACCGGAATTTTTTTTTTGCCACCATCAATTTGATTTATATTTATTTGATGGTAATTGTAAAATTAACAAAAACAAAAAAAAAAAAATTTTCAAATTCTTTGTTGTTTATTTTATTTTCATTTGATTATATGTTCTTCTTGTTAATAATAACTAAATGAATATATTCCAATTTGAATGGTGATGATCAGAAAATTTTTTTCCATTCGATTCTGGCAAATTCATTCAGGTCAATATCATGGTGTGAATTTTAGTTATTCTGTTGAAATTTTTTTTTCAAAATTTAATGAAATCTCACTCTCTCTCTCTCTCTCTCTCTCTAAAAAAAAAGCCGCATCATCATCATGATGTAAAATTTTAGCTAATTAATTTTTGTTGTTGTTGTTTATTTATATTCACAAATGCCGATTTAATTACATCATCATCATCATCATTGGAAATTCATAATATAAAACAAATCAGAATGTTCATCCAATTTCCATTTTGGATTTTTGTTTTCGTTTACTCATGGTACACAATTGGCCATCAATAAGAAAGAGAAAATCTTGACAGAAAACATGGAATAATATAATAAATAATGTTTACATTTTTCTCTCTCTCTCTCTCTCTCTCTGTCTTTACCACGTAATGTCTGTCATGAAGTAAAAAATGAAAAAAATTTCCACACACTAATTCAATCACAAATTGATTCACATTCATTATACACTGCATATGGACCTTTTTTTCTGGTAATCAATTTTTTTTTTGTTCGGAAATCCAATCAATCGATAAATGTTTGCGTGTGTTTTTTATACCATCACCATCATCATCATCATCGTTTATTAGTGTTACAAGATGATCATTTTTTTTTCTTTCAGAAAAAAATCATGGTAAATATTTACATACATCAATGGAATTTTTATTTGCATTTCGAAAAAAAAAAAATTTTTTTTCATTTTATATTCATTGAAATGTACAAACACACACACGTAAACACACACACACACAAAATTTGTGAATGTTTCAATGATTCTTTTTTTTTCTTTCTCATTCATTTCTTTTCAATTCTTGTATTTCACACTAAATATATTTGATGCTGTTATTTTTATTTACTCTGGATTTATGATGACGATGATGATGGGATCAAGGTTCTTTGTTCAATCGTTTCATTCAGTGGTTTTTTTTTGCTTCTGATTGTCAGTATTCTAATTCAATTTATTATCACCACCATCGTCATCATTTATAACGGTGATTGTAATCAATCAATCAATCAAAATGGAAATAGTCGTAAATATTTGATACTGTTTTTTTTTCATCCATCCAATGTTTGTTATTACTGTTTGTTTTCTCGATGAATAGGTAAATGGACTCAATATTATTGCCATCATCATCATCATCATCATGGTTGCACCGAATTTGATCGATGTGGTATGTCAAAATATTGAAAGACAGAAAGATCTGAATGAATAATCACCATGATCATCATCATCATTCGAATGTGAATGAACGTGATCTAGAATTTTTTCATTCACATCAAAAAAAAATGAACATGAATAAATATGGAAATTCTTCGAAAAAAAACGAAAAAAAAATCGATTCCATTTCCGTTTGTTGTTGTGAACAGCAAAAAAAAATTTGAATTTTATTGATGATGATGATGATGATTTTACTGCCGACGTTCCTTTTAATTCCTTTTCTCTCTTGCTCTTTCTCTCGATACATATATGTATTAATTGTCATCATGGTCGTCGTATACCCTCTTCTGGAACTTTTTTTTTGCCCATAAAAAATGATATCAAACAGAGAAAAAAAAACAAAACAAAACAAATGAAAAAAAACAACAAAAACAAAAGTATAATAAAAATTTCAAAAAAACAACAACAACAACAACAAAACATAATGGTCATCATCATCATCATCGTTGGCCATGAATGAACATTATCATCATTAAAACCCATATATATAGCTAAAATGATCTTAATTTGCTCTCAAACACGCACACACACACACACTCATACACATTTGAATAAATATTCATCATCATGGTGGTCGTCTTCTATGACGACCATGATTTCAATATCAACCAAACATTTTCATAAAATTTCCTTCATTTTCATTTTCATTTTGTTTTTCATCATTTTACCAGAAAAAATAGAATATATATACCAATTTATAATGAAAAATATTCTGATTTCTAGTTTATTCCGGTTCTGGTAAATGTGTGTGTGTGTGTGTGTGTGTGTGTGTGTTTGGGTAAAACACAATAACAACAGAATAAAATTCAACAACAGCTACAAAAAACAAACAATTCATTTTCATTCAAAAAAATAAAATCTAATTAAATTAATTTGATCTAATTAAAACTAATAGCTGCTGCTCTAGCTCAATATATATTGTTATATGTTATTTCATCATTCATTCGAAACTTTAAAAAAAATTTTTTCAAATGTACCACTATAATAATATAATACTAATAATGTTTACTGTTGTCAATTCATCATTATGATGATGATGATGATGATGATGATAATAAAGTTTATGCAAAAACAAAAACAAAAAAAAAAAAAAACTCTCTAGACATTCAAAAAAAAACAAAAAAAAACGAAAATAGAATTAGCCAAAAAAAACAAAACAACAAAACAAAAAATTTGCATAATTCTAATTGGTAATTCTTCATGCATCAAATGGTGTTCATCATCACCAAGAATAATGAATAATTATACTTTATAAGCTGAATCTTTAATTGTCATTTGTGGTACCATTCATTCATTCATTCATTCATTCATATGGCAAAATGGACGAAATTGAATGGAAGAAAAAATTGAATTAAATTCCAGTAGAATTTAATGATCCTGATGTTGTTGTTGTTGTTGTTGTCTTCAAAATAATAATTCCATTTGATTCTTTAACAAAAAAAACAAAATTTTGATGATGATGATGGTAGTAGGTTGTTTCAATTGAAAGAATCTTTTTGTCTAGTTTCATATCAGATTGACAACTATTTGATTTACTTGTGTGTGTCTTGGTCTACAAATCATATTTTCGACATTTAATGAGTGAAAAAAATTTACATATCATGTTGTAACCAACCAGACGATGCTTGAATTTTTTTCCTTTTTAAAATTATTATTTTTTTTTTACCATTTTGAAATGCAATAAAACAACAACAACAACAACAACAGCATAAAGTGGAAAGCATCAATAAACCAGCGCCAGGCAACAAGTTATTATATGTGATGAGTGGGAGCGATTTTGTGGCAATCTGCCGACAATATGGCACATACACACACACACACACCAGACAACCAACCAAAAAAAAAAAACCACAAACACAAACTTACAAGACATGGTCTGGATAATTTTTTTGTTGTTGTTGTTTTGTTACTGGATTACTTTATCATCATAATGATCTGATGAAAAATTCATTTTCATCAACTAATATATATATATCATGATTTGTTCCATTCATTTTTTAGGTTTTCTAAAAATACCTATTTATTTTTTCGTATTAAAAATTCAATTTAAATCGATATTGATCCAACAATTATTATTATATTGGATTTTAATTTCGTTGCACACTATGGACGCATGGGCAACCTGTAAATAAAATCTGGCAAAAAAATGTTGATTACACAGTGCCGTATATATACGATAAGATTCCGATTCTTAAATTCCAAGAATGTTGAGGATTGTTTTTTTTTAAATCGCATTAAATATTAGACAGCGTTTTACTGTATATCTCATTACTTTTCTTTTTGGCTCATTGATATTATCGTCGTCGTCGTCGTCGTCGTCTGTATTTGTGTGTAAATGGTGGTAAAATTGGTAAAAAAAAAAAAATTTGTCTTCTGTTCTTCGATGTCTGCTGCAATGTGTTGTTTTGTTTTTTGTTTGTTTGTTTGTATGAAAGAAAGAAAGAACTTTATGGGCAATCACACACCACACATACACACACCGATTTTTTTTTTTTAGAAGTCCAAAACGACTACGACGACGATGATGATGATAGTTTTCTACCAGATTTTAGTTTGTCGATGTTGATCATTGTAACAACAAGAAAATAGTGAAATTTTTTTTTCTTTTTAAAGAAGAAGAAAAACACCGGTACCGGCATTATTAATGTCCATCCACAAACAGCAACAACAACAACAACAACAACATAGGTGTTTAAAACAGGGGTCCATTGTGTTTCAATTGAATTTTTGTTTTCTAATTATGAATAAATTAATTAATTAAATGCATATCATCATCATCAAGGATCATCCCAATTTTTTTTTGTCAATGCACATCGTTTTTTTTTTTTTGATTTAATTTCCAATTGATATATACACTTGTTGCCTGTGAACATGAATGATTAAAAGTAAATGTGTGTGTGTGTATATCGATCAATTGATTGATTGTTTTGATACATATGTTTCAAAAAATCGAAACAATCTCATCATCATCATCATTATTTATCAATCAATCAATTAAAATTGGGAAAAAAATTGTACAACTTTTTTAGCTATTTGGTGTTTTTTTTATATAAATAGCACGATAATAATCATCGTCGTGTGATATCTGTGACTACCATTATTATTATAAAATGATTGATGATCATTATCGATTGGATAAAATGCGATAACAAAATACAAAAAAAAGATGATGATGCTACCCGTTTTTTTTCTTGTTTATTTCGGCTTGGAATCCTTCTTATATTGACATGATGCTGATGATGATATCTGATATGATTCAAGATATTTTTTTCTATATCAACACAGATCTAAAATTCCTGATCCAATATCGATCCGACAATAATAATTAATAATTAATCAATCGAAAAAAAGGAAAATCATGTTGTTGACATTTTTCGATAATTTTTCAATCCATCAATTCCATTATTATAATTTTTCAATCAATTCTAATTCGATTCGAAATTTTAATCAATCATCATCAACGATTAATTTCAACAACGAATCATCAATGATAAAACGACCAAAAAACCAATCAACAACAACAACAAAATGAAGTTTTTCTTTTATTTATCGAATATTCTTCATCGTTTATTATTGTTGGAAATTTTTTCATTCATAAATACAAAACGGCAACCAAACGATATTATTTATCGGCCATCATCATCATCATCATCATCAACATCACATTTGTCATTGATTTGTTATCATTTATCATCATATGATAATCAGAATAATAATTTTAAATTTAAAAAATCATCACATTATCATCATCATCATCAACATCATAAACGCAATCATTTTACGAAAGAATCATACGATTCCTAATTATGACTATAATGATAATGACTATTGTAAATAATATGACAATATCGTTGGCCGATGATGTTGATGATAAAAGCCGAAAAAATCACATCAATAATAGTAGCCATATTTATGATGAATATAATGGACAATCAACAGGTCAAATCAATGAACTTGTTGAATCTATGATGATTGATACAAATATAACAACATCACCTGTGAATAGGATATCATCATCATCACCATTATTGCTCGTAAATAATAAAATTAAAAAATTAACAAAACGTTCATCATCATCATCATCATCGATGATGATTATGATGAATCATAATCTACATCGTCATCATCATCAACATCATCCTCATTATCTTAATCTTCAACAACAGCAACAGCAACAACAACAACAACAAAATCCACAAATAAACAGGCCGGAAACATCAACGGCCATGACAATGATAACAACAACATCGACAAAATTACCGCCAACTACATATCATTATAATAATCAAAGGATAAATCATAATAAGCCGCAGCAACAACAAAATGAATGGCATTCCGCAATTCAACAACAACAACAACAACAACAACAACAATATCGTACTCATGCAATAGGAATTTCATCCGATTGGATAAGAAAACGATCTCATCAGCCACCGTTGCTGTATAATCTAGGATTATCACCATCATCATCATCATCATCATCATCGTCTTTATCATCCTCCTCGTCATCATCATCATCATCTTTATTTAAGAATGGTTATTATCGTCATCATTTACAACATTATCAACAACAACAACAACAACATCAACCACAAAAACATCAACAACTTCAATTACAACATCAACGATTACAGCAACAACAATTACAACAACAACAGCAATGTCCGGAAGGACCACCAGAACAATGGTCACAACAATTAGATGTTGCTGGTAAAGCATTATTATCACCAATAGTATTTTATGGTGAATTGATCTCATTAGCTGAAGATTATGGTGGCCGTATTGGTGCAACATTTAGATTACTTAAATTAATTAAACCAGATGTGACAAAATTATCATCATCATCATCATCATCATCATCATCATCAACAATAAATCATCATCATTCAATGATGAATCATAATAATAATGAAGATTTATCCATATTAATACCGAATCCTGAATATGAAACACAAGTAAAACTTTATTTTGTACCAAATCAAAATGAAAGTATGGAAATACCATTCTGTGCACTTTATATGCCAGAAATTTGGAAAAAATTACGAACAAAAACTAGATATATTTTATTTGCACAGCAACAAATTTTATCATCACGTGGATTTATGTTACCATCACATTCATCATCATCATCATCATCATCATCATCATCATCAACATCTAATAATAATGATCTTCATTCAAAATTTCATAATCATCGTCTATCATTTAATGATAATAATCGTATTGTTGTTGGCCATCAATTAATATCAATGATAACATATACGATACCAGAAACACTTAGTCGTAATACTAGTCGTTTAGTAAGAAAAATTCTTTGCCGTGATTGTGGTAAGTGTGATTCTTTTAATAACTTTTCAAAAAAAAAAAAAATATTTTTGAATCTTCAACAACAACAACAACAACAAATTAACAAATTTTTGTTGTTGTTGTTGTTGTTGAAGTAGCAACAAATATTCAAAACAACAACAATTGAGTGTGTGTGTGTGTGTGTATGAGAAAATCCGGCTTGATTATAATTATCAAAATAGACAAAACAATTATAATCGAGAAAAAAAAACAAAACAAATGAATGATGGAAAGAAAACAAAATCGATTATATTGAAAGAATGTCAGATTCCCGGATCGGATTTTTTTTTTCGTTTTGTTTTGTTTTGTTTCTCCTTCGTTTTTTTTTTGTTTTTATTATTTTTTTCTTTCATCATCATCATCAGTAGCCATAAAACTACTACCACTGCTACTACTAAATAGTAAATAGTAATAAGGGACAGGCCTAGCCTTCGAACAAGAAAAAAAAATCGATTCTCACCATTCATATTCAAAAAGTCATTCTCTCCCACACACACACACACACACACAAATATGCCGCAAACGAACAAAAAAAAAATTGAAACAAAAAAAAAATTCCAGGACTTGACCTTTGGCTTTAAAGAATGATGTTGATGTTGATGATTGTTACAAGTACCATCATCATCATCATCATCAATGATCGCTATGGATAGATGATTTGATCATCATTCCATATTTTTTTTGATTAATGTAGCATTGATCAATTGATTGGAAAATTAATGTCAAAAGAATTTCAAAACATTCATAATTCTGTTATTATCAAAATTCTGCAGAATTAATGATTCCATCATCATTCCAAATTTTTCACACAATTTTTAAGCTGATCAAAAATTTTGAATTTGAACAAAAATTTTTTGATTAAATTGCAATCACACACACACAGTGATCACAGAATGAAAAAAATTCAGCTACCTACTACTACTGAAGCCAAAATGATGATTATATGATGAAAATTTGCTCTACATTTTTCAATGCAAATGAATAAAAAAAAATTGTTGTTGTTGTTGTTGAAAATAAAAATAAAAAAAAACTATTGCCCCGGACACACACACACACACACGCATACCATGAACATTTGAAGAACCTGAACGTAAACGTAAATAAAAAAAAATAATAACGACACTATGTATATATATAAATGAATGTGGAACACACCTTAGTTTTTTATTTTGCTAGTTTCGTTCAATATGTTTCAATCTTCGTTCTCTCTTCATGTGTGTGTGTGTGTGTATGAATGTAACAAGTCTAATTTGTCTATTGTCGTCAACAACCAACAACAACAACAACAGCACATCACAATATTCTTGGCCAAAGCCAGTTCCTGGATTCCTTTCTTTTCATCATCATCATCATCATATATGATGATGATGATAATAATAAAAATGTTTGCCGCGCCATCATCATCATCATCTGGGTTTTAAAATAGATTTCTCTCTCTTTTATTCACACTGCGGTACTTTTTTCTTTAGTTTAGTTTAGTTTTAATTTTTTTTCCTGGTCCTTTTTCAATCTGGTCATTTTTTTTATTATTATTATTACTAACTTGTCAAGATGTCGGTCTGTTTTTTTTTTTGTTTTGCTGTATATACACAGATATTTCTGGATAAACTTATAACAGATCTAACTACTTACTACACTACTTATTACTATGATCGATGAATAAGAATTTTTTTTTCAATTTTCGGTCTTTTTTTCCATCTATCTAATATCTCGATATATCTCGATTTGATTTGTTTTGATCAATCAATCTCTTTTTTTTTGAATATCAATTTTGTGTGTTTAAATTTTTTTTTATTTATTTTTTTTTGCCCACCCACAAGTGGAATTTAAATAATGAGATAGGCTAGGGAGGGCTTAATTGTGACATATTGCTCATTATTCATTATGTGTGTGTGTGTGTGTGTGTGTGTCATTTACCTGGGTTTCATTATAAAGATTCTCCACACATACATACATCTCAAGTATACAAATGATGATGATATTTGATGATGGATTTTTTCAATTTTCCATCATCATCATCATCATTATTGATTTGATATCGTTTTTTTTTTCTGGATCGATCAACTATGGCCCCTGTGGGTATATATGATTCATTGACGTTTGTACATACATTGATTCTGTGTGTGTGTTTGATTTTTGTTTTGTTTTGTTTTTCACTCGTGCTGATATATATTGTTGATGATCGATCCGGCATTGATTGATTGATTGAAATAATAATAATAATAATAATAACAATTTGAAACAAAAGTTCACCACTTGGATATTTACAGTTGTTGACCTTTTCTGTTGTTGTTGTTGGAATTTATCGTTGTTTTTCAAGGTTTTTTTTCTTGCAATTTTCATTTGTTTTTATTTTGACTTTTTGTATTGATTAATGAACCACTTGTGTCTGGTTTGGTTTCAAATGGTTTTTTTTGAATATTTTCAAAATGAAAGAGAGAAATTCCTTTTTTTTGTCTGCCTAGAAACACAGCAGACAACAACAATACTAACAGACGATCTCTCTCATCGATACATTGATCATAAGTGTTGATTGATCATAAGTATTGACAACAACAACAACAACAACAACAACAATGAGAAAACAATATTGTTACATTTTTGACATCTAAAAAATAGAGAAAGAGAGAGAGATTGAGATATAGAATAATAATTTGTAAATTACTTTTGATCCATCCACTTGTTGCTATGATGATGTTGATGATGATGATGATCAATTCTTTGACGTTGTTGTTTGTGTGTGGGCTGCTGATACATTATGATGATGATGATGATGGCCTGAAAATACACACACACACACACACATGAGAGATTTAGGATATATACCTATGGGAATTCAAGTCAATTGAAGATTTGACCTTTCGCCTTTTGTTCTATACGCCATATATAGTGTAGATTCTGATTTCGCTTTTTCTTGATGATGTTTTTTTTTCTTGGTTATATAGTGATTATAATTCAAAACACATACACACACACACAAAAGATATTTACCGGTTTTTGTTGTTGTTGTTGTTGTTGTTGTTGTTACTTGTTTATATATCATTTATATAGCTTTAGTGGAAACAAAACAAAATCAAAATCAAACTGAATAATAATAACAATGTTTCATTGTTGTTTTTTGTTTTGTTTTCGATTTTTTTTGTTGTTGTTCTGTGGTGGCCACACAGAAGCCGGATATAGAAGTTTTTTTATTCCAAAATGATTTTCTTTGTCTTGTTTAATCAGATAATTGTTTGTCAGTGTGTGTGTGTGTGTGTTGAAATGAATGTATTTTGATGATTGACTGAATTGACAGATTGAATTTGGGTTTTTTTTCAAATTTTTTTTTTTTTTTTTTTTTTGATCACGATGATAATCATTGAATTCAATGTTTGGGGTTTTGTAAACCCGGCAACAGGTTATCATCTTCATTATCTATTTATGATTATAGGTTATAAATTTTATTGAAAAACCGATTATCATCAATTTGGTCATTGATTGATGATCATGATAATTTGATTATAACAGCATTCGAAATTGAATTTTTGTCTGTTTTTTTCCTATTGTAATTCTTTATCGATTATGGCAATTACTGTTAATTGAATGGATCACGAATTTGTATTATTCATCATTTACATAACAGAGATATGGAATTTCAAATTCAAAACAGAACAAACAAAAAATTCTATAAATGTGAATGGAAAAAAAAACGTTTTTCATTTCATTCTTTTAATTCGTAAATTTTTATATATGTGGGTGTGTAATGAACCGATTCTTTCAAAAAACAAACAACCTTCATATACTACCTAGTTTAGTTGAGTGAATTCTGATAGTTTCTGTCGTCATCATCATCATCATCATCATCGTATTATTTTCCGTCAACCGAATAAATGGTGACATTTTTTTTTCTTTTTCATCATCGTTGTCACTATCATCATCATCATCAACATCAACATGATTATTTATGCAAAACATTTCCGACGGTTTTTTTGTCTCTCTCTTTCTTTTTGCATTTATTTCGACAGTACCAAGCAATTCCGTAGTGTGTTTTTGCCAAATTTGACAATTTTTCGTTGTTGTTGTCGTTGTTGTTGTTGATTTACATACTAGATCAAAGAATAATTTGTTTAAATTCAAATGTTTCAATGTTTTTCGGTTGTTTTCGGTCGACACGGAAAGTCGAAAGTTAGCCCAATTTGAATAACAGCAGCAACAGCAATTGGTGTACAGCCGACAACCTTGATATTTTTATTTTTATTCCCACACACACACACCACACACACATTCATAGATTTTTTAAGGTCCAAAAAGGGTTTTTCTATCAAATAATTCGTATATAAAAAAAATATTGAAAAAAATCAAAAAAAAAGAAGCCAAAACATACATTGTGTGTGTGTGTCTAAGAAACAAAAAAAAAAAGAATGGCCTGTCATCATCATCGTTGTCGTCGTCGTCGTTCTTGAGAAAATAGAGAGAGAGAAAAGAGGAAAAATTCCAAAACAAAATCTAGAAAAATAAGAAAAGAATTATGGAAAAAAAAGAAGAAGCCGCATTTTCTATTCATATTTCTTCTTCTTCATTTTGTTGTCTAGGTTTGTGTGTGTGTGTGTGTGTGTGGGTCATTTATTCATTCAATCACGATTCAATTGAGTCATTTATTATTATTTTATTTTTCCTTGATCATTCTTTTTCCAAACATAATTTGAGCCCTTCCTGAAGCCTTATTATTATTGTTGTTGATTATTATGTCGACTAAATGAATTGTTCGTTCTCTGTTTGTGTGTGTGTGTGTGTGTGGCTTGAGTAATATATTTGTTGTTGTTGTTGTTCTCAATGTGTGGGCGGCAAATTCAAATCTGTCTCTGTCTTTTTTTTTTTTTTTTTGCAAGAAAAATTCGTTTTCTGGAACAACAATAATAATAATTTGAAAATGGAAACTTTTTTTCTTTTCTTCATGTTTTGCTTCTGGGTATATTTGAATGTTTGGATTTGATTTTTTTTTTGCTACGCGGCGACAATTGTGTGAGCTTTTCATTCTCTGAATTCATGTCATTTGAATATTTTTTTCTTCATAAAAAAAATTTTTGTTGTTGTTGTTGTAGTCATCATTATTATTATTTGCCACCATATAAATTTAGGGATTGACCACCACCACCACCACCACCATCCAATTATCATATATATTCATTTGCTACTTCAATTCAAAATGCATTCTTTTCCATTTGACAAATGAATGAATGAATGAATGAATTTATATACACAATGCAGACGAAAAAAAGTCATATTTTTATTTCGTTGTATTATCCAAAACAAACTAATAGGAAGCTATGAAATTATTCACTTTTTTCATTTGGTTTTGGTTTTTTAAACACCTTGACACTGATTCATTACGTGGCGGCTTTTTTTCTGGCCTAGCTTGACAAAAAAAAAATCTTTGACAAAATTTGTAAATTGAGAAGACAAACTATATAGGTACCAATGGTGGTGGTCACTAGTACCCAAAAAAAAAACTCGATGAATTTGTCTCACTACAGCAAAAAAAAGGGATATTTTTTTCCCATTCCTTATATGCAACACTTATGATGATGATGGCCATCAATCCATCGAATCGATTGCTCAGTGAATACAGAGAAAAGAAATTTTTTTGACATAAAGAAAAAGGAGACCCAGCAGGAGTTTGATTTCCAAAAAAAAATTTCGGCAAGTAAGGTGAAAACCCTTTGCATTCAATCGAATTCAATTTGAATTCAAATTCACCACCAGTATATTTCATTCAAAAATGAATATTACGACAACGACGACGACGACCGATGATGATGAAGAATTTGCATTGAACTTCTCATTGGTCAAAAAAAAAAAAAAAAAAAACCGTAACTCATTTAGCAATCCTTCTTTTATTAGGTCTCATTTTGAGACAAATTAGGTATATACCACTTTTTTCTTCGAGACCGTAATTTATGTTTATGTGTGTGTGTATGTGTGTGTCCTTTTAACAACAACAACAACAACAACAGTAACCGAATCGGATTTTTGAATGGACCTTGACGAATATATTCGAAGAAAGAAAACAGAAAATCCAAAAAAGAAAAAAAAACGTCATTTTTCGTCTTTGTTACGAGGTGGCCCATCACTTGTGTGTGTGTGTGAATAACGTAGATAACGAGAAAATTGAACGTATAATTGGGTATAAGGCGTTTTTTCAGGTGAAAAAATGGCTTCTGTGTTTTTTTTTGTTTGTTTGTTTGTGAAAAGGATTGATTTTCATTATGAAAAACAAAATTTGAAGAAACAAAAAAAAGTCTTATTATCAATCTAAGTGTGTGTGTGTGTTTTTTTATTGAATTTACCGCAAAACATTATCTTTTCAGATTATCGATCTGTCTGATGAATTTTCTTTTTTTCTTTTTTTTGCTTACTTTTAAATAATCAATGAATGATTGTGTAATGGTTTTTGTGCTAATCGATAATTTTTGTTTTTGTTTTTTTTTCTACTTTCTTTCATGATAATAATAATAATAATAGCCAAACCAGCACGTATTGCACATAGCAGCAGGGAACGTTTGGATATTATTGCCAAACATAATATAACATTATCATGTCGTGTTGATGGTAATCCAATTCCATGGATCGAATGGTATCGTAATGGTCGACGTTTACGTACACGACGACGTGTGATAATCAATACACGAAGGTTAGTAGTATCACACACACAATGCAAACACTGTCCATCGAACGACAAAAAAAAAAAAAATTCTGATTTTTCAAAATGTTTAAAATGAACATGAATATGTAAATGATTAAAAACATAAGTGAATAATTTTACATAGTTCATCACCATTTTTAGCGATAAAAATTTATTATTCTTTTGAAGAATATTCTATTCTGCAACAAAAACAACAGCAACAATCAACAAACAACAAATTTTTACACAGTAAAGTAGTAGACGATTATATACATTGGCGGCGACGGTACTACAATTCATGTTGACAGTGTGTGTGTGTGTGTAGCACACAGACAAAAATAAGAATTTTATAACTTGTAAATATATATTACCTAACACTAGCAATAAAGGCATAAATTCCTAAAAAAAAACTCGTATAGAATATAATCATATTTTCGACAGTAAATAAATAAATAAATATAAAAAAAAATTGAACATCAATTGAAGAGAGACAATTTCATAATCATCATCATCATCATCATCAATGTGTGTGTGTGTGTGTGTATATAAGTGTCAAACATTTCCATTCAATCTATGGTGGTGAATGTTTGTTCCATTTTTAGAAATTCTATATCCCGATTTAGAATGAATGAATGAATGAATAAACGAATGAATGAATGAATGAAAGAATATGAGGACAAGACATTTTATTTTTATACTTTTTACTTATTTATTTATTCAGTGTTTTTTTTTTTTTTATTTTCTTTTTCTGAATTCATTCATTCATTCATGAATTGAATTGAATTGAATTGAATTGAAAATGAGGAAAAAAAATTAGCTGTAATCCAAATGTAAATGTGTGTGTGATGAATAAAATCAGTTTGTGTTTGGTTTTTCACAAATTTTTTTTTAAAGGCGCGATGACGTATTAGAAAGTCATTTTATTGTCGTCGTTGTTGTTGTTGTTGTTGTCGTCTGGAGTTTTTCTTTCTAGAAAAAAAAGTGAAAGGATAATGGTCGGATAATGTTCAGTTTGGTTTTTTTGTTGTTGATGACATTTTAAAGAATTTTTTCAATTTTTTTTTTGAAATTCTCATTTGAATCCCATTTACAAAAACATATCATAAAATGGCTAGACAACACTAGACTAGACAGAATTTCATCATCATCATCATCAGAATCAGAATCCGGGTTGTGTACCATGGTGATGGTGGTGGTTAAATTATAAATAATAAGAATAAGAATGGATTAAAAAAATAGAATTTTAAACTAATATAACGAATTTTCTTTTTTCATTTTTTTTTATCGATTATTATTCTATATAGACGAATATCACAATTAACTATTGTACATGCATCCGTTAGACGTGATCATGGTACATATGAATGTAGAGCAATGAATGTTGTATCAAAAGAACCATCAGTAAAACGATTCCATGTTAATGTACAATGGCCAATAAATCATCCAAAACATCGGCAATCATTAGGCAATTATCATCATCATCAAAATAATGGTAAACATCGACATCCATCATCATATTCCGGTATAAGAAAAACAACAATTAATAACGATGATGATCGTATTGGTGCCAAAAATAATGTGATTATTGGAACAAATCATCATTATAATATTAATCATAATCATCATCATCAAATATTGAATAATAATGATGATGTTGAAAGTGATGAAATTCATCATTATCATCCACAAGTAACTGATGATGGTTTCAATAGTTTTCAAGATAATTCTGAAATTCCACAACCATGTCCAATTGCATCATTCTGTTTGAATGGTGGTACATGTTCATTATATAAACATCTTGGTGAATATGTTTGTGAGTAAGTAACAAATAATTGATTCTCATCATCATCATACAGCCAAAAAAAATTTCATTTCATTTCATTCAATTTTATTCATTTTTGTTTTTTTTTTTTTTTTTTTTGATTTGATTTAATTTCAATCAGATGTGCCGATGGTTATAAAGGTCATCGTTGTGAATATAAAGATTTACAAAAATATCGTGAGTATTGCTCATAATTCTTTCGCCAATTTTTTTTTTATTATTTAATTATTGAATTTTTTTCATTCATTCATTCTTTACATTTTCAAATTTAGCGGTAAAAACATTGGTCGATTATGATCCCATAGTTGCCCGTACACCACCTCATTCCTTTTCGGTAAGTTTGTGTGTGTGTGTGTGTTTTTTCTTTGTTTCCAAATTGTTTGATTGGCCATTTCGTGTGAGGTTTTTTCTTTTCATCATCTATGAAACCAGAAAAAAAAAAAAAAAAAACACAACTTTGGCGGTCGTTATATGGAAAAAAAATTATTTTATTTTTTTTATATATATGATGATTTGATGCCATTCTGTTCGGTTCTGGTTTTGATTTGGTTGGCCCACCAACAACACAAAATATCCAAACATTCAAAATGATGATGACGACGATGATGATGTTCAAAACGACAATATAATTTATGTCGTCTAACCATATCATATCTCTGGTTGTTATTACTTGTTTGGATTTTACTATGAAACTCATAATTCGTTTGCATAAACTTTTATATTCAAACAAACAAACAAACAGAAAAAAAGTTTTTTTTTCTGTTTATATGTGTATGTTTCAAACGAACCCAAAAGAACAATAAATGATTCAACTGGCCAGATTCTTTTTTTTTGTTGTTTCTTTCTATCTACTTCAAATAATAATTGAAGGCTAGTTTAGTGCAAAAATGAAAAAAAAATTCATCATGTGCGTGTTTTCTTTTTTTTTTTTTTTTGTTCATTTTCGTTTCGAGACCACCAAATAAGTTGAAGAAAAATTTTAATGATCATCATCATCACATTTGTGGTGATGAAAAATTATCATTTTTGGCTAGTTGAATTTGTTTTCGTCTGAAAATATGGAACGAAATTGCAGCAATAGTAGTAGAAATAGCAGTAGTAGAAATGTATCGTATTCAATTTCAATTTCGTTTTTTCTTTTTTTTTCTTGATAATTACAAGGTGATAATTTGGTAGGTGGCCTTCTATTCATTCCAAAAAAAAAAAATTTTTTGGTTCCACGACAATTACTATTATACAAACATAGTGAATTATCGTTGACAAGCCGGTCAAACTAATGATGATGATGATGATGATGATGATTATATCTGGAACCTCATTCTGATAACCTGATAACAAGGATGAATGAATGAATGATTCACTGAATCAAAGATCAAAGTCGGCAATTCAATATGTGAACAACAACGACAACAAAATTACATATCATTTGTAAATTATCATTATACACACACACACACACACACAATGAATTTGCCGACCAAATATGACATTAATCAAAAAAAAAAAAATTCGTTCGATTAGTTATTTGTTATTCTTTGTTCATTTTTGGTTCAAGAATTCAACCTCATTTGATGATGAGAATTTGCTCGGTTTCTATTTGTGTTTTTAGTGGTGATTATCATCATCATCATCATCATCATCATCATCACCTGAACAACGATGAACAAACGAAACGAAAAAAATTGTTGAAAAGACGAATCAATTTTTTTCGTTTCGTTGACTGTCTATTTTGTTTGAAAATTTCCGCTAAACAACAACAACAACAAAAAAGAAGAAACCTAAAACGAAATTAGATCCAGAAATTTTTCTGAAAATCATTTCGAATGTGATTATAAATAACAAGGTTCCGTTTTACCTAGCCCTTATTATATTGCTGCTGCTTTGATTGTTGATTGTTGTTGTCGATAATGTTGAAGCGAAGACAACTTAATTACAATGGACACTTGGAAAATTTTCTCTTCTTCTTTTTTTTATTATCGATAGAAGAAATGATTATCATCAAAATCATAAATAGGCGAGGAGTTTTGAACCCAATAGCGAACTAAAAAAAAAAAAAGATTGATTGAATCAATCAGTGTGGTCCATTTTTTTCAGGTTCATCTGTCTATTGCTTTTGTTGTTGTTGTTGTTGTTATATTCACAACACTAAATTTGATACAAATGACCAATATAATCAATATTACGGATTTGCCGCTTTATAGTGAATGGCTTCATCATCATCATCATCATCATGCCAAACATTCAATCATTCGTAACGTCTTGTTGATAATTTTGACGACTTTATATTGCCGACCTTGTTATTGTTTCGTGTGTTTGTGTGTGTGTGTGTGTGATTGGCAATATCGAAAAAAAATGACAGATAGAAATGTAAAGAGAAAAAAAAAAAAATTCTGATCAATAGTCGGTGTGGTCACTTAAAACAGTAAAAAAAAAAAAAACGTTCGATGATTTGATGATTGTCAATGTGTCTGAAATGAAATAATGATTGTCAAATTTGACATGACAATCCAATTTCGATTCAATTTTCTTTTAAATTGCTCAATTCATTCAATTTATTTTTCATTTACACAGAATCAGAATCAATGTCAATGTCTTTTTTTTTCTTCCATCAATGTGTTATGCACACACACATCCATAAATAAATTCTTGTTTCATTCATTTATTCATTCATTCATTTTTTTATTATTGATGATCAACATTCATTTGTCGGCTTGCGCCAAAAGTTTTGATCATCATGATCATTCTGATCAAGATGATGATGATCATTGAGAGATGACTACTGAAAAAAAAAATATAAAATTCGATCGTATTCTGAATAATTTTTCTTTCTGTTCATTCTAAAGTTTTTATTTCATTTTGAACACACACAAAAAAAAATTCAATGAAACTCGTGCCTCAAGAAAACTAAAAAATATTATTATTATTGGCTACCTAATAAACACACACATACGTGATTGGTTGATTTGTTATGTTTCGATGGTCATAAAATCTAGAGAAAAAAAAAAATTCCTTTAGTTTTCTTGCACACAATTTCAAATAAACAAACAAACAAACAACTTGCTTGATTGTTGATTATTGTGTTTTATACGAATAATATAAGAAATCAACAACAAAACAACAACAACAACAACAACAAAATTGCACCAGAAAAAATACACATATATTCAGAAAAATTCAGTGTGTTGGTGAATACAACAACAGAAAAAAAAAATTTTTTTTTCTCCAAAAGAACGATGTTGTTGTTGTTGTTGTTGTTGTTGGTTTATCGATTGCATGATTACACAACAACCGACAAGAAAAAATACGAAAAATTATTGTTGTCAGGTATGGTTTGAATGTGTGTGTGTGTGTGTGTGTGTAGTAGAGAAACTTTCAGACAAATTGACGACGATGATGATGATGATGATGATGATCCATACCGGTCTACAACAGCATTTGAATGTGAATATTTCAAATCACCAACAACAACAACATCAGAAAAAAAAGTGATATATGGATCAATGGCTAGAGGAGGTGATTATTATAGCCGAATGATGATTATATTCTCAATATAATAAAGTCATAATATTTACATTTCACTTGTCTTCGTAGTCGTCGTCTTCATAGTCGTCGTCTTCATAGTCGTCGCCATCATTTTCATGTCATGTTATATATCAAATAAATAAATAATAAATATATGTATTGTGGATGAATGCTGACTAACTTCATCTTCATTTTTTTTTTTTTTGAGGCTTTTTGAGATGGTTTTCATCGGTAGCAAGCTTTTGTTGTTTGCTACCGATGTTTGTGTGTGTGTGTGTAATATATCGATTATATAATCTTTTGGAAAAAAAATTGAGTTCCACATCTTTTTTTTCATATATATTCTGTCGGTTTTTTTTTCATCATTTTTTTTTCTCGGTTATGTGTTGCTAGTGTTGTTGTTTCGTATACGTGTCGGCAGTTTTTTGTTTTGTTTTTCATTTATGATGATGAAGAGAAAACGATCGATGATGATGAGGATGATGATGATGATGATGAAAAATGAAATGAATCGTAGATTTGATTAGAATGGAATGTTTTTAATATAATTTTTGCTGTTTTTTGTGTGTTTGAGTGTGTTTGTGTGTGTGCATATAGCCGACATTGATCATTGTTGATTATAATGTGAATGATGATGATGATGATAACGAAATATTTATCGGTGGAAAACAAACAAACAAATGCTCGATTCTCTTTGACTCTTTGATTTGATTTTTTGATCTGTAAATCATTTTTTTTTGTTTTGTTTTGTTTTGAACCGAAACAACAAAAATTGATTAGTCTCAAATCTAAAATGATTTTATTATGAACTAACCTGACAGTGAAATTGTAGGCTAGAATTCTGGATGTTTTTCTTCATTGGAATTTTCTCATAATAAACAAAACCATTGATGAATTTCTCCGCTTTTCTTGAAGATGATCATAACCATATCGTAGTCGGACAAAAATTTGCATTTTTTTGGCTTGTGAAATAATTCTTTTTCGATTCCATCAATCTTGTGTATGTGTGTGCATTGTGTTTATTTGTCGGGCCGCGGGCCAATAATAATAATAATGTCATCTCATCTCGGTCATAGTTCATCATGTTTGGCTGCCAAAAACAAGTTGAATGTTTTTTTTTGGACAAAATAATTTATTGAATTTTTTTGCCCCTACTTTTCTTCACTTTTATTCATTGATAATGATGATGATCAAAATCATCTCATGGTTTATGGCTGATTGTAAACATAAACAGCTTTAAATCATTTAATATATACTGGATTTTTTTTTCCTGGTGACAAGAAAAATTATTATTATCTAAGATTTCAATTGAAAACCAAAAAATTTTTCTCAGTTATTTTTTTTTTTGTTTCTCCTCTGGCGGTTAGTTGCTTTGGAAATTGGCCAATAATAATTTTTTCCTTCATTCATTTTTTTTTGCTGAGATTCAATTCACAATTTTAAATTCAAATTATTGAATGTTTTTTTTCTGTTTTTCTAAAATTTTTCTCTTTTTTTTCTCTCTCTCTCTCAAAAATATAGTCAAAAACCAATGAAGAACGTGCCGATAGTTGAAAGACCAAAGAATTTTAGCTGTAAGAATTTTTTTTTCGCATAAAAAAAATTTGAAACCAAAGAATCTTTGATTCGGAAAAAAATCAACTGAAAACTATATCACTCACCACCACCACCAAATACATATACAAAAATTGAAACAGGACCGTGATCGTTTTTGCAGACAACATCGAACAGTGACTTGAATTTTAACGAATTTTTTTCGAAACGAAAATCCAGACCCGCCACCAATCTCATCATTCATTTGAAAATTATTTATCCCGTTGAAAAAAAAAAATATTTTCACATTCGACCATAATTCGGTGAAACAAATTCCACTCATATAATGTGTATGTGTGTGTGTGTGATTTTGACAATTCATTTGTCACCAAAAACAAACCAAAAATAAAATGAATTATCCGGTCAAAACAAAAAAAAAAATTCAACCATCAATCCATCCATCATAATTCACAGCCGCGCCTTCATCACCATCATCATCATCATCATCATCATCATCTTGCATCGCTGATTCTATCTAATCAAACAATCAAGTCTGCAAAAACAAAAACAAAACAAAACGAAAATGGAAATCTAGCCATTTTCAATTCAATTTTTTATTATTATAATGATGATCTGTATGATTTGTTTGATCAAATCATAATTTGATTTTGTTGACAAATTTTGAAATTTGATCATTCAACAACAACAACAACAACAGCAACAACTTACACTGACTTTTTTTTATATTGCAAACTACTTATATCATCATCATCATGGCAAACACTCGATTTAATTTTTTTTTTTGTATCTCTGTAAATAATTTATTCGATTGATGATTCAATGAATTTGATTATTATTATTATTGTAATTTTGATCCAAATCAACAAATTGTCATCATGGATTTTATTTTATTTTATTTTTTTTTATTAAAATTCTTAATTATTAATGATGATGATCAATTGAATGGTGGATTGATTTTGGATTGAATTTTTTTTTTTTATGTGAAAAAATAAAATTTTCAATTTTCATCAAAAGTCAAAAGTGCTTCCATCTAGTTTCTAGAGTTGTGAAAATGTATCCTGCATGCAGAATATCGATGGCAAAATATCGATTATTTTTCTTTTTTTTTGATGAAAACAAAAACAAAGCCGGTTTCGATTGTTTTTGTATTGCCATTTTCACATTTTTTTTCTTTTCTTATCATCTGTTTGATTGTTTTTTTTCTATTGATTAAAACAACAATAATGGGACGACATTGGGATAGTAAACGTTCCAGAAGCCGATCACCATCAAGATCTACATTATCATCTTCGTTTCGATCATCAAGTTATCGTGATCGTGATTATAAAAATCGTTCATCATCATCATCATCATCATCACATCGTACAGAATCATCGAAATCATCATCATCATCGCGTAGAGATAAAGACCATCATTCATCATCATCTCGTCATCGTTCTAGATCTCGTTCATGGTCTCGATCACCGGAACGCCGTGATCATCATCGTTCTAGATCACCATCTTATCATAAATCAAAACGTTTATCCAAATCACCTGAACGTGTTAACCGGGAACGTGTTGAAGATATTATTGGTCAAGATGTAAATTATAAAAATTTCGATATGGATGAACAACAGAAACGTTTGGAAAAGATTATGCAAGAACGTCGTGAACGTATAGAAAAATGGCGTCAACAACAGAAACTTGGTGAATCATTACAAAATAATAATACAAATGAAACTTCCACTGTTAATCAAAAAAATGATAATGGTGCCGCTGCTAACGCTGCTACTGTTTCCAATGAAATCAAAAAAGAAGATGAACCAAAAAAGACATGGACATTAGATGATGAAAATGATGATGATGACGATGACGACGATAATGATGTTGATAATGCCAATGAAACCATTGAAGTTGATGAGGAAAATTTTCACACTCCTACAGTAACAAAAGTTGAAATTGAAGATAAAATTGAGGAAGTTGCAAAAGGTAAATTTTGATTTGAAAATGTTTTTATTTAATATCTCATTTATTCAATCTTTAGTTGATAATAAAGAAGCAAAATCTGTAACGAATGAAGATGAAACCATTTCAACATCGACAGAAAAAATGGAAACAGAACAACAACAAACAACGGAACAATCGGAAGAAAAACAAAAACAAAATAATGATGATGAAGATGATGATATTGATCCATTAGATGCTTATATGCAAGGTATTCAAGAAGAAGTGAAAAAATATCGACAACAAACTGTTCATGCTAACAAACGAAATGATAAAGTTACCGTTGTTGTTGGTGTAGCCAAGAAAAAATCCATAAAAAAGAAAGGTGAATTAATTGAACAAAATCAAGATGCAATGGAATATTCATCTAGTGATGAAATTGGCCAAAATGATGAATTAGCAAATGCAATGGATAATTTACAAGCAAAAGTTAAACAAAAAAAATTGATGACCATTTCAAAAGAAGATATTACATATGTTAAATTTCGTAAAAATTTCTACATAGAAGTACCTGAAATCACTAAAATGACCAATGAAGAAGTTGATGCATATAAGACAAAAATGGAAGGAATAAAAACCAAAGGTAAAGGTTGTCCAAGACCAATAAAATCATGGGCACAATGTGGTGTAAGTAAAAAAGTATTGGAAGTTTTGAAACGAAACAATTATGAAAAACCAACTCCAATTCAATGTCAAGCAATACCGGCCATAATGTCTGGACGTGATCTGATTGGCATAGCAAAAACTGGTTCAGGCAAAACATTGGCATTTTTATTGCCAATGTTTCGACATATAATGGATCAACCACCATTGGAATCTGGTGATGGTCCAATATCCGTGATTATGACACCAACACGTGAATTGGCCACTCAAATCTATTCGGAATGTCGGAAATTTGCCAAACCACTTGGTTTGAGAGTGGTAGCCGTATATGGTGGTACACCGATTTCCGAACAAATTGGTGACCTAAAACCTGGTGCCGAAATTGTTGTCTGTACTCCTGGTCGAATGATCGATATGTTGGCAGCAAATAATGGTCGCGTCACAAATCTTCGTCGATGTACGTATGTTGTATTGGATGAAGCTGATCGAATGTTTGACATGGGATTTGAACCACAAGTTATGCGAATTATCGATGGAATTCGACCGGATCGACAAACAGTCATGTTTTCGGCAACATTTCCGCGAATAATGGAAGCACTTGCACGTAGAATATTGGATAAACCGATTGAAGTTCAAGTCGGTGGTAGATCTGTAGTGTGTAAAGAAGTTCAACAAGAAATTATTGTTATCGATGATGATGACAAATTTTTGAAATTGCTAGAAATTCTGGGAAAATATTCGAATGAAGGCAGTGCTATTGTTTTCGTCGACAAACAAGAACATGCAGATATGTTATTGAAAGAATTAATGCATGCATCATATACTTGTTTAGCATTACATGGTGGTATCGATCAAAATGATCGTGATTCTACAATTGCTGATTTTAAAAATGGACGTGTCAATGTTTTAGTTGCAACATCTGTAGCAGCACGTGGTTTAGATGTTAAACATTGTATTGTGGTGATTAATTATGATTGTCCAAATCATTATGAAGATTATGTACATCGATGTGGTCGTACTGGTCGTGCTGGAAACAAAGGTTATGCTTATACATTTATAACACCTGAACAGGGTCGTTATTCAAATGATTTAATAAAAGCATTAACATCAAGTGGAAATATGATACCGGAAAGTTTACAAAAATTATTTGATGATTATAAACGTGAACAAGAATTGATGGGTAAAAAAGTAAAATCATCATCTGGTTTCACTGGTAAAGGTTTCAAATTCGATGAAGCTGAAGCAATGCAAGCAGTGGAGAAGAAAAAATTTCAAAAAGCAGCACTCGGCCTTCAAGATTCTGATGACGAAGATCCAGAAGAAGATATTGATCAAGAAATTGAAAATATGTTGGCACCAAAAAAGAAGACAATCATACAGCCATTAATACCTACTGGTGAGAAAACATTATCGGAAAAATTAGAATTAGCCAAACAATTGGCATCGAAAATATCAATGACAAAAACACCGGCTGTAAATCCAATTGTAACGAATAAACCATCAGCAACGGCACATACAGAAGCAATACTTAAAGGTGATGCATTTTCATTGGGAGATATTGCTAGCACTGTAACTGCTAAATCTATTGCTGAACAACGTGCCGAACTTATCAATGCTAAACTAAATTATACACCAAAAGATTTTGAATATAATGATGATGGTGAAATTATCAAACGAGATGATGATGATTTATTTGCACAAACATTGACACAACGTTATGAAGAAGAATTAGAGATTAATGATTTTCCACAACAAGCTAGATGGCGTGTAACTAGTAAAGAAGCTATCGCTATGATTAGTGAATATTCTGAAGCCGGTATCACTGTTCGTGGTACTTATTTTCCAACTGGTAAAGAACCTAAAGTTGAATTGGGTGAACGAAAATTATATCTGGCCATTGAAGGTATGAATGAACGTGCTGTAAGCAAAGCTAAAAGTGAAATTATTCGTCTAATCAAAGAAGAATTAATCAAATTGGTAAGTTGACATTTGGATTTTTTTTTTTGATATATAAATTTCATTTCAATTTTTTTTTTTTTTTTTCAATTTCCACAGAATAATACATCATATTTGAATAAAAGCCGATATCGTGTTGTTTGATTATCCATTATTATTCATTCCAGATTCAAAATCTTTCTTGTTTTGTTTTAGTATAAATCATTATTATCATCATTTTTTTTCCAACTGATGCTGCTGCTGCTGCTCATTTTGTATAATAACATTGAAAAAAAAAATAAACATCATCATCATCATCATCACCATCATTATCGTCAAAATGTATTTTTAATTATGATAATTCATATAAAGAATTTTTTTTTGTTCGAAAAATTATCAAATAAAATTAAAAGTTCTATTGGATTATTGTCTCGATCAATTGAGAATAATTTGTGGTGAAGATGAAAAAAAAATTTGTAAATGTCATCATCATCATCATTGAGTTTTGCAAATTCTTCATTTTTTCAATCTTTATGATGATTATTATCACGCTTGAAAGAATGAAAATTATTTTATTGATGAATTGATTGATAATTGATTGAATTGCAATCACTATTGATTGTTCAATAATGATTATTCTTTTTCACCTTGACATTGAGAAATAAATGCATATATATATATATGCATTCTAATAGATAGATAGAAATGGATGTTATTATTTTATCATCATTTTATTATCTTTCAATCAATCGTCATGGTTCGATTGATTGTTTGATTGATATTTTTTTTTTTTTTTTAACACACATGACTCATGCTAATTTTTTTTAAATTATGAAAAAAATTAGGCGTTTCGTTTCGGTAGGAAGATTCCATGATATGTTTAAATTCATTATCAACATTTGATGATTACATCATAAAATATGGAATTGTTTTTTTTTCATTCGTTCGTTTTGTACATATACAACTGGATTGAAATTTTTTTTTTTTTTCATTCATAATCATCATCATCATCATTATTGTTCATGTGAGACCAGGAATTCCAGAATTTTCAATCAATTTCGTTTTTTCTGTATACAAAGGTATATTCGATTAATCGATTTTGAGAATTATTCGATTAATCGATTTTAGATGTGTGGGTCAAAATAGTAAATCATTAGCGCGTTTGAAAGAATCATTGTTGTTGTTGTTTTTTTTTTTTTGGTTTTGTTTCATTAGCTACTATAATTTGCGATGATAATAATGATTGCAGCAATTATGATGATGATGATGACTTGAAGCAATTTAAATTTGAATTGGTAAATGTTCATTTTTTTTTGTTCTGTCAAACAATTAACGAATTAATTATCACAAGTTTTCATCTTTCAAACTAATCATCACTTTTTTTCAGTTTCATTGAATGGAATTGGCTGAAAATATATAAATTTGACAATCAACAATGGGAAACAACTTCAGTGCTTAAATAGCCCGAATTGAATACACACAGCAAGAAATTGTTTGTTGTTGTTGTTGTTGTTTTGAAAACAAAAATTTTATTTTAAAAATGAAATTTCTATTAGGTTTCGGTAAGTGTTTGTTTTTTGTTTATTTTAAATTTTTGTTTTTTGTTGACTAATCATTCAATCGTAAATGTAATAGCTGTTATTGCCGCTGTCTTACCAGGATTTTGGTGTGCATGCAAAACAATTGAAGAATTAGATCAATGTGCATATGAGATTAGTTTTTTGGCTAATCGTAATCTCAAAATACCGACCAATGATGGTGAAGTTGTTGGCATGTGTGAGTAAGTATAAATATTACCAAATATAGAATTATGCCCCCCTGTTCCATAAATTAATGTTTCAATATTTAGTAACGCTAAAAAAGGATTAAAATGTTTGGCTGATCATGCACGTGAATGTGCTAAAGGTGCATTGAAATCAATTACAATCAAAGTGATGAACGATCTTGAAAATCATTTACATACACGTTGTGATAATCCGGCTGAACGTGCTGAATTCTTGAGACATATTGGTTGTTTTACTGATAATTCAAAAGCTGATGCTGTACGATTATGTGCAGATAAACATATGGTCATGATGGAAAAAGTATCCAATATGCCTAAACCATTAAGACTTGGTGGTGCCTGTTGCAGTTCACATTCATTACGCGAATGTGCCATCAATCATATTACAAATCTATGCAGTGGTGAAACAGGCGATTATTTCAATGATATGATCAGTGATATTGTAAGTGTTTTAAACTAACAAATACAATCAATCTATTAACTAATCATATATGTAAAAATATAGGCTGAAGAAAACATTGAATTAGTTTGTAAAGAATATTCATCATTGGATAAATGTGATGCTAAATATGATCCGGCCACATGGACCGATCTTAAAGCTATTATGGCATCCGAAGATGCATCGATGGTTGGTAAACATCAATACAAAACCATTGTGCCGATCATTGTTAAAATGCTTAAAGAAGCACGAAAATGATGACCTAAATATTAATGATGATGATGATGATGATAATGATGATGTTTCATCTGTTGCACATTCCGATTCAATTTCGAAATTTAAATTTACTACGCTATAATTTTATTTTTTGTAATTTAGTATATAATCCAATGAGTCTGCACGGTTTTTGGTACTTTTTATAGTTTGTTTATCATCAATCGATATACGAGTAATCAGACATTGATTTTTTCCCTAAAAAAACAAATTCATTTGATTTATTTCTATTTTCAATTGTTTCAAATAAAAACAAATTTATTCGAAAAATATTTACATTTTTCTCTTCTATAAATGGCAACAAATTTGACAAAATCGATAAATTTTTGTAACAAAAATCGAAAAAATGAGATAAAAATGAAAAAATATCCGCTAATCGTGCAATTTCCATCTCATTAGAATAGCTGGTTAAATGTGTGCAGAATTTTTCGAATGCCCAATGAATCGTCATTTATGTTCGGTGCCGAACATGTTGCTGAATGGCAAACACAATAACATTCGAAAAAAAAACAAATTAATGTTTGGGGTTTTTGGATCAACTAAAAATATCATCATTGTATTTAAATCATCATATCATATAGTATCATTTTCCCTAATTTGATCTAATTGTTTTTTATGATTATCAACATGAGTGTAAGTTTTTTTTCAGATATTTTATGATAATTTTATCATTTTAATTGGATTTTTTTTTCTGAATAGCAATACTCGATGTGATTTATTAGATGCGGCGTTTTTTTGTTGGTTGCAACATAAGTATAAAAATTATTTGATTATTGTCAGCTCAAAAATGGAAAACATCAACTCTAAATGGATCAATCTGATTTATTCGTCGTGTATTTTTGTCAATCATTTTGCATTTGTGAGTCATTTTAATTGTGGTCTGTTCATATGCTAATCATTTGAATTTTAATCACAAGGGAATAACATCGAATACATTATGGCCAGCTTTGGTTGATTTGAGTAAAATTTACCAGGTTTCAGAAGAAACAATTGGTTATCTTGCAACATTTTCATCACTTGGTTATCTCATCGGATCATTAAGTAAATTATTAACCCGAAAATCATGAATCATTAACTAAATTTATTTAAATAATTTCATTGATCTATTAGGTGGAACAATCTACAAATGGCTTAATCGACAATTAGTACTCATATGTATGGTATCGCTAATCGCAGTGACGATGGCTTTTGTTCCATATTATGGTTCAGTCTACCTGTTGTTTGCTGCGGTAACATTTAATGGAATCGGTGGTGGTTCATGGGATAGTTCCAACAATATCTGGCTTGTTGAAATGTGGCCAAATAAACATGCTTCTGTGATGCAATCGTCACAATTTATGTATGGTCTCGGTACAATCATAAGTCCTACTTTGATTTCACCATATGTATCGGGAAATTCTACACAAGAGACTCCGGCAATGAGAATAAAATCCCTACGTACACCATTTGCAATTGTTGGTGCGATCCAAATAATAGTGCCTATAATTTTTCTGATATTATTCATCATACGAAGATATCGTAAATCTGGTGATTTTGATGATGAACATGATAGTGAAGAAATTCAAACAGTAACCGGTGTTAGTAGCAATCATATTAGTGAATATCAATCATTAAGAAAATTCAAGTTAATTCTGGTTGCATTGCTTTTGGGCACTTATGATGCAGCCGAATTGGGTTATTTCTATTATTCACCTACAATGTTACAACATTTATCTATTGAACCCTCTGAAGCTGCTCATGTTCTTTCTGTTTTATCGGCTGCCTATACAATCGGTCGATTAGTAACGGCATTCATTTCTCTTAAATTGACTCCCGACATAATCATGACCTATCATTTTGTCATAATAATTGCTGCACAAACTTGTCTTTATTTTGGACGTCATAATCGAACAATCATCTATATTACAACCGTTTTACTTGGTTACGGTTTTTCAGCCATGTGGCCAGCAATTCTAGCATTTACTGAACGTCATTTTAAATTATCAAATCGAATCGGTTCATTATTATTCTTTTTTGCCGGGTTGGCAACAATTTTCACACCATTTTTGATTGCCCGTTATCTAGAAACATGGCCTGAAGTTTTATTTGTATTTGAAGCAAGCTATCTAGTGGCCAGTATTATTATTTTCATATCGGTCAAATTATTATTAATATTTCGACCATAACAAAAAAAGAAGAAACATCAACATATGATTTTAATTTAATAATTTATTATGTAACAAATTTTAGTTATGTTTGTTTTCAATTTGATTCATATAGAATTTTATAATTTAGAAAAATAAAATCAAAAAAAAAAATCGACTATCAGACATGCAACATGTTTCCCATCATCATCATCATTGTATTATTACAACCATCATGGCTACCGTAACAAAAAAAAAAACTTTCCATCATCCATATAATAAGATGGAAAATTTGATTTAAATAGCTGGAAAAAATTCATAAAACCAAAAAAAAAGAATGGAAGAAGCGAAAAAAAATATCTAGATCATATCCAATGTACTCGAACCAGACAAATGATCTCTCTCTCTCTCTCACTCACTTCATGGAGTTTTTTTTTTGGTTTGTTTGTTACCACCCTGACATCGAAATAACACAACAATGACTACGAATGTGAACAACCAATTTTGTTGTTGTTGTTGTTGTTGTTGTTTTTGAATGACATCTAAAAATTTTTTCTAAACAATAGAATCTGGATGGATGGATGGATGAACGATTAGCATAAACATTTTTTTTGTTTTTGTTTTTTCTACGGTTCTCACGAAAGATAATGATGACGATGATGACGATGATGATGACGATTGATGATTCTAATTGAATCGAATATTATGTAGTGTATTGTATTTATTACCTCGTATCGTTTTTTTTTCTCTTTCAAGATTGACCAATGATCATTCATCATCATCAACTATATAGGTTCTTTTGTTCCAAAAAAAAAAAAAAAAAAATTTTTTTTTCCAATTCAACCCAAACAATGAATGAATGAATGAATGAATCCAATTGAATCGATCCGGTCATCAGCAATTGTACAATTTTCTTCTCTCTCTCTTTTCTAATCAACAACAACATACGATCGATATGGCTATATAGCTATGATATTTACTTGACCAGTAGCATAATAATAATAATAATAATAATGGTCAAACATCATTGAAATCAAATAAATAAAAAAAATTTTTTTTTTGACCTAAAATTGTAGATGATTGTTTGGAGAGGGGGGGCAATAACAATTTTTTTTCTCAAAAATTTTTCATTTTTTTTATGATCTCCTAGTATCATGGCATTAGATTTTTTTTTCTTTTTTAGTTATATAGCAAAAACTACAAACATTCCAATTTGACCGAATCGAATTCAACAACAACAACAACAACAAAAACAACCGAAAAAAAGTATTAAATCCAATTCATTCGAATGGATGCTGCCAATAATGATGATAATAATATATTGGATGGGCAATAAAAAAAAAAAAATTTTCTTCAATCAAATAAATAAATAACCGACAAATCAAAATAAAAAAAAATGAAATGAAATGAAATGAAATGAAATGAACATTTGATTGTCATATGATCAATTCTTCTTCGTTCGAAAAAAATTTTTTTTTCGGGTATAAATATTTGTTCATTCACGAATTGGATATAATATCGACAATTTAATGATGATGATAATAAATATATTCGTCATCATCATCATCATCATCATCATTCATCAATAGTTTTTTTGAGTAGGCCAGTTGAAAAAAAAGTGGAAAAAACATTGTCCATCGATTGTCCATATAGCGTATATGATGATGATGATGATGGGAGAGCCAATTTAGTTTCATTCATTCATTCATTCATTACATTCAAATTCATATACTCATTGACGACGAATAGATTAGGTTTATGTTTAGAAATCCGTTTTCTTTTCTTTTCTTTCGTTCGTGGATGCAAATCAGATAAATTTGGAAAATACACAATGAATGAATCAATGGTCAATGACGGCAGCGCCCGAAATTTTTGTTTTGTTTTGGGTTGAATAATGGTGTTGAATGATGATGATGATGATTATGATTATGATGATGATGATGATGATCATCGCACATCTTCATACTCATTATCATCATCATTATTATCATCGATGATGATAAATGAATGGTAATAATGACGATGATGATGATGATGATGTTTGATGAATATTTTAACAGACTGTTTATCAAACAAGAACAAATTTTTTGTTTTTTCGTCAATCGACAGCATTCGATTTGACTAAACGATTGTTTCATCATCATCATCATCATCATCAGTTCACAATCATTTTGTCCATTTCGAACATCATCAATCAATAAAATCTGAACAAAAAAGATTCATCTACCGAAATGAAAAGAAAACAAAATATCTGGTTAAAAATGGTAATGATGATGATGATGATCGAAAGCAATTATCAAGTGATTATGATTTCTATTGTTTTTTTTCCATTCCTTTTCTCTCGCGTTCATTGCCATCATGGGTATATTGATAGATTAGATTGACTGACCACAACATTGAATAACCAAAAAAAAAAAAAAAAAAATATATATATATATCGGGCGACAACATTAAATCATTCAATTCGACAGATGCCGATCATCTATATCCAATAATAGAATCAATCTGAGTAAATGAACGATCAATGAATGATTCGATCGATTGATTCAAATAATTTTTTTAAATATTTTATCCCGATTTTCATCATTTTTTTTCACTTTTCATGCATTTCATCTTCAGTAGTGTGTGTGTGTGTGTGTGTTCGTGCATTTGAATTTGATTTATCCGCATCAAAAAAAAAAAAAAATTTCGTTTCTATATAGCTATGGTCATTTGATTCGATTTGATCAAACAACAAGTTGCACATCTCACCCGGTAATCAATCAATCAATCGATCGATCCATCGATCGATTGATCGATTTTATCCATCAAATCATCATCAACATCATCAAATTTTAAATAATCTGTTATTATTATATTACTTTTATTGATTGATAGATGGATTGAAAATCATTCATCAATAGAAATATGATCGAAAATTTATTTATTTTTTTTTACATCCCAAAAGTGAAATTTATTGATGATGCTTCTGGTAATGATGGCAAATGATTTGTTGTTGTTGTTGTTGTTGTTGACTATGAAATGTTCTTAAACTTTTTTCTTTCTTCATGTTTTATTTGTTTTTAAAAATAAAATCAACGAATCATTCAAGTTTGGACAGTCCAATTCATTCAATTCAATTGGTATATGTTGGTCAATTGGTCAAATTGGATCCGATTTTTTTCTTCTTGTGAATTGATTGAGTGTGAATCATATCTGTATATGATTCAACATGGTGTCTCAATGCTAAATTTAGATCATCATCGATGAATCGATCTTTTTCATCATCATAATGATGATGATGATCAATTCGATGATCAGTGAAGAGAAAATATTATTTTTTTTCCACGATTTGATCGTTTTTTTTCCATTTGGTTGGCTGCTTGGTTGATCTTTTGATTGATAGGTCAGCTAGTTGTTTTGTTGATTTAAGTTGATCAAGCGAAGAAATATCAAGCGGTAAAAAAAATGAAAAGGGAAAAAACTTTGTTTTGTCCGTTTGTGTCAATTTCTATTGCTGATTTTTGAGTTTGAATTTTTTTTTTTTTTTTTTTTGATTTTTTGATTATTTTAAACAACGGACATAGACAAACATTGATTTCATGTTTGTAAATTAAAATTAAAATTTAAAGATGTACAAATTAATCAAATCATCTACTTATGGGGGGAAAAAAATCAGGGATGATATCTTGTTTTTCCACAAAATCATTATTATGTTGTCATAGTGATCGATTAGATTGATTAATCGATTAATTACTTTTCTAGCTAGTTTCCTTGCAAAAGTTCATTTCATCATCATCATCATTAATTATCACATTCAAATTCAGTCCAACACTTGACTTAACTGGTGATCCAAATGATGATCCAATCAAATCAAGTGATATATATCAATGCTTGTGAAATATCTTCCATCAATGTGAACGAAAAAAAAACTATTGTTACAAATCAACAGCTTTAAAAATAAAAATAAAAAAAATGTTCCGGATATTAATGAAAAAGGCGTGTACAGATATATATCTTTATCAACATGATGATAATCAACATCATCACTTGTAAACAAGTGGCGTTAAAATTTATTACCACTAAGAGATTGGAGATGATTTCTGTTTTGTTTTTTTTTTTGGCTAAGCCTAGTAAATATTTCAAGATGTGAACATTTGATAAAAATGTCAACAACAACAACAAAATTTTTTTAGAGTTCTGTTCTTGGTGTTTGGACAATTTTCGGTCAATACAATTGTTGTTTTGGTTATCATTGCATTCTGGATCATGAAATTATTAATGATGATGTGATCAATTGTAAATAATGTATCAATCTTGTGAAACATGAAAACAATTCAATTGAACAAATATGATAAATGATGATGATGATTTTATATATTGATGAAATGATGAAATTCAATAATGATCGATTACAATGAAAATTTTCCTTTTTGCCCTCCTATTGATTCAATATCAAATGGTGAAAAAAAAGAGAAAACGACAACAATGACAACAAAAAAAATGAAAACAATTTCCCCTTACAACAACAATCAGATGACATTCAAATTGTGATTTGCATTTGTGTATATATTTCAAATTTCAAATCAGGTCAATAGAATGATGATTTACTTGAACTGAATTAATGACAGAAAATAAAGGCGATGACACATTTGTTTTATTATCATACAGAAGAAATTTTTGCAATTCAAAAAAGATTATCTCACAAATGACCAACGATTATATGGTAATTGTAATGATTACGAAGACGACGACTACGAATGATCATCACGACAAAATGCATCCATTCAATAGATGATGATGATGATTGTGTGTGCTTTCAACAAATCACTAACCCACACACACACACACACACACACTAATTATTTATTAATTAAACAGGTTTGATTTGAAAAAAAAATTTTTACTTCACGTAATGGGGCAAAAATTCGTTGGAAAGAAATCGAATGTTCAAACAAAAAAAAAATATAACAATTTTGACATGATAATATCATGTTTCGAGAATACATTTTTTACCGGCATAAAATCAACATTATCATCATTTATTTCATTTTCAATTTCGATAATAATGTAGATCAT